GAGGTGCCCACTGGAGAGGTGATGGAGGGCAAGCGTCGTCTTCTTCAGGACTGCGATGTACCTCACAGACTCCTGCAGGCCAACCAGCCCAAGTGCCTGGAAACTGAGCACAAGTACAGGTTGAGAGCAGCCCACACCTGCAGAGCCTCAGGCTGGGAGAGACAGTCCAGAACAGTACTCACTGTTGCTTGGTGGGTAAGGAAACAGGCTTTGGGGTCAAACACAGCCGAATCCTAATCCTGGCTCTGCCTCTTGTTAGCCAACTTGAGATTCTGCACTCGCAACCATGTGGTCACACTGCTTGCTTCCCTGAAACCATCTACTTCTAAGGGCTGTTCCCTCCTTCCCCTGGGACTTCACAGCAACTGGACCTACCCTCTGCCACATACCCATCAGACAGTGCTGTCATTACTGTGCTACCTGCCTGCCTCCCAATGGACAGCGGAATCCTCAATGACAGCAGCTGTCTCACAGTCCCGTGTGTTCCCATCGCCTGGGGCTCACCACGCGTTTACCAAATGAATTACTATCAGAAGATATATAAGCTAATACAAATGATCCTATCATTTGAACAACTTTAGGGGCCGGGCGCGGTGGCTCACGCCTGTAATCCCAACACTTTGAGAGGCTGAGGCGGGAGGATCACGAGGCCAGGAATTCGAAACTAGCCTGGCCAACATGGTGAAACCCTATCTCTACTAACAATACAAAAATTAGCCAGGCACAGTCCACATGCCTGTAATCCCAGCTACTGGAGAGGCTGAGGCATGAGAATTGCTTGAACGTGGGAGGCGACGGTTGCAGTGAGCCAAGATCGTACCACTGCACTCCAGCCTGGGCGACAGAGTGAAACTATGTCTCAAAAAACTTAATAAATAAAAATAAATAACTAGAGCAAAGATGTAACAATAGGTCAAGTTATTCTTTAAACAAAACTAAACATTGGAAGTTTTATATTATGTTCTTTTATCTGGAACATTGCAAAACTCACAAATCACAGTGAAATTAGGAATAGCACACAAGCACAAGCGCAAACACTGCACCTGGAAACTCTGCATCTAACAGGTGCTCAATACATGTTGGCTGAGCAAGCATATCCACAACGGGCACTCAATGGCAATACATGTTGGCCGAGCAAGCATATCCACAATGGGGACTCAATGGCTGGCTCTCCAGTGGTCCCTGGGAAAAAGCCACAAGCCCAGACTTGCTGTCTGTGCAGATCTGTGTTCTGATAAATCCTTTAACTCAGTCAAGATAGAATCCAGTTTCTCCCCTACCTGCCACTGTCCAAGGTTATCTCCCAATTCAGGCCCCCGATGTTAGTCTCCCAGGAACGCATGATTCGGCCTCCACTGGACACAGTGATTGCATCTGGAAAAGAAAAGATCATGGTGAAGTCATTTCCCAATTGTTCTGTCGCCTCCTAGGGTCCCACTGTGAGCAATGGCCTCACCTCTGATTTCGGGATGCAAATACATGTTAAATAGGTATCTGTCCTTCACTGTCAGGAGTCCCCCATCTCCTTTCCCTACCAGATCCTGTACAGATGACAGAGCCAAGGAATGGGACAGGGAGCCGGCCACACAATGGAGACACAGGAGGACTCTGCTTACCCTGTCCGTGAAGCAGCATGGCATCCACAGCCCCTTCTGCCGTGCCCTTGTCAACATGGCGCCACACTGAGAGACATGAAAGTTAGATGTTACTGTGAACAGAAGGAGGCAACCCAGAAGACTAAGAGATAAATGAAGAGCTCTTCATTTGCACTGCAATGTCCAACTTTATTTCGAGGGAGTGAAGGAGTATAGTTAACTGGCAGTGATCCAGTACCATTCACGGGGTAATGAAGGTAGAAGGGGTTAAGAGGAGCCACTACTGTCCAGGCCCCACTGCCACCCCATCAAACATAAACAAACAACAATAAGATTAATAAAATCCATCCAAGTCATAAGAAAAATAGTGATCGGCCGGGCGCGGTGGCTCACGCCTGTAATCCCAGCACTTTGGAAGGCCGAGGCGGGCGGATCACAAGGTCAGGAGATCGAGACCATGGTGAAACCCCGTCTCTACTAAAAATAGAAAAAAAATTAGCCGGGCGCAGTGGCGGGCGCCTGTAGTCCCAGCTACTCAGGAGGCTGAGGCCAGAGAATGGCGTGAACCCGGGAGGCGGAGCTTGCAGTGAGCCGAGATTGCGCCACTGTACTCCAGCCTGGGTGACAGAGCGAGACTCCGTCTCAAAAAAAAAAAAGAAAAATAGTGATCATAAATTCTATTTCCATTATTTTAGTGCCTTAATTTACATCCAGCCAGTGTAGGTAATTAAGTGAGGGTATGTGAGAGTTTACTGCAAAGTAGAATAATGTGTTTTCTGCAGCAGCATCTTTTTTTGAGACAAGGTCTTGCTCTACTGCGCAGGCTGGAGTGAACTGGCATGATGACAGCTCACTGTAGCCTCAACCTGCCAGGCTCAAGCAAGAATCCCACCTCAGTCTCCCAAGTAGCTGGGACTCTAGGCACACACCACCATGCCTGACTAATTTTTTAAATTTTAGACACAGGGCCTCATTGTGATCCCCAGGCTGGTCTCGAACTCCTGAGCTCAAGTGATCCTCCCGCCTGGGCTTGCAGCAATATCTTATTTAAGGGCACTCAGGATTCAGGCTAAGAGAATAAACTGCAAAGGTCAGTTATAGGAATATACAAACATTCAAAGATGGTAAGACTGAAAAAAGTATCAAAATCCACTAGGAGAGGCGTCTTTTGGCCAACATGTCCCTTATTCAGGAATCAGCCAAGCAGAGTTGGCAATGGTGAGCCTTCCATCCCTTAGGCAGCCAGTAGACACGGTTCCCAGTTCACTCACAGATCTCCCCAGTTCTGGAATTTAATGCTGCAATCACATTCTTCTCTGTGGCTACAACCAACTTCTTAGATCCAGGGGAAAATTCCAAGGAGGCAAACTTGAGCTTCCCAACATACTGCTGTCTCCTGAGGAAAAGAGTACAGGGGAATGTAAGGAGCTAAAATCACCATTCCACAAAATGCTCCAGAAAAGAACAAATCACAGGGCTATCACCATCACACTCATTTTAGGACATATAAGAAGTGTTTGTGGCCGGGCACGGTGGCTCATGCCTGTAATCCCAGCACTTCAGGAGGCCGAGGCGGGCAGATCACAAGCTCAGGAAATCGAGACCATCCTGGCTAACATGGTGAAATCCCATCTGTACTAGAAATACAAAAAATTAGTTGGGCATGGTGGCAGACGCCTGTAGTCCCAGGTACTCGGGAGGCTGAGGCAGGAAAATGGCATGAACCCGGGAGGCGGAGCTTGCAGTGAGTCGAGATCACGCCACTGCACTCCAGCCTGGAGGACAGAGTGAGACTCCGCCTCAAAAAAAAAAAAAACCGGAGGTGTTTATTAGCCAGGCTCTGTGGCTCACACCTGTAATCCCAACACTTTGCGAGGCCGAGGCGGGTGGATCACCTGAGGTCAGGAGTTCGAGGCCAGCCTGACCAACATGGAGAAGCCTCATCTCTACAAAAAAATACAAAATTAGCTGGGCATGGTGGCTCATGCCTGTAACCCCAGCTACTCGGGAGGCTGAGGCAGGAGAATTGCTTGAACCCAGGAGGTGGAGGTTGCAGTGAGCTGAGATCGCACCACTGCACGCCAGCCTGGGCAACAAGAGAGAAACTCCGTCTTAAAAAAAAAAAGAAAAAAAAGAAAAGAAAAGAAAGAAAGAAAAATCTTAAACGGAGTCTTTCCCCCCCATCAGCCTAGCCTGGCCCTGGGCTCAGAGCAGAGTTGCCCAAAACACTAAGCAGTTAGGAAATGCCATTCATTCATTCATTCATGAAAAGAAAATTGCATATATCTAGTATTCTGCAACATTAGATATATATATCACCTGCTATATATGTGTAATATACACATATGACATTGTGAACAGTTGTGCACATCATTAAAAATTTAACTTATGTTGCATTTGTCACACTGTCTGGCATAACAGGTACTCAACATATATGTGAATCAACTTTTTCAAGACAGAAAATACTTCAGAGGAGGAGAAATCTGAGCTGGGCCCTGAAGAATAAAGTGTAAAGAGCAATAATAACAGGTAACATTTAATGACTGCATTCAATGAGCCAGGCATTGTTCTAAGTAATTTAATTGGACTGTCTCATTCATTCTCACAAGTACTGTAATAGATAACAGACTGTTAGTAAACCCATTGTATAGACAAAGAAACAAAGGCACAGAGTGGTTAAGCCACTTTCCCCAAGATCACACAACTCTTAATTGGTAAAATTTAAACAAAAGCAAGCTACTTCAGGGCCTTAAGGAAGACGTGAGTGGGTGAATGAAGGAATGAATGGCATATTCTAGCTGCTCAGAGTTTTGGGCAATCCTGCTCTGAGCCCAGGGCCAGACTAGGTTGATGAGAGGGGGAAAAGGGTGCAGTTTAGGACTTTTAAGACGAAAGCTCCTGTTCAAATGCCTACAAGACACCAATTCGAGTAGGAATTCAAGTTCACTGACGGCGTGGCGACCTCTGACACCTGGTAGACCAGAAACCTGACAGTCAAAGAAATGGAACCTGACGAGGGAGAACGGGATCAGTGACCTCTGACCAGCACCCCAAGCATGCCTGGATGGCAGGGCCGGCTTACACACAAGGATCAGCTTAGAAGGACCCGTAACACTTGGTTTAAAGCTCTGCTTCGAACGACTTTAAATCCTTAATTTTTGAACAAGGCGCCCCACGTTTTCATTTTGTACTGGGTCCTGCAAATTATGCGGCCAATCCTGTTACATGACAACCCCCTTCCCTTTAGCAGGCAGGAGACAGGTACCGTGGAAACAGCCACTTATCTCTCGAATATGTTCTACACGTACGCACCAATCAAACTTGCCCACTTGGTCTTCGTAGACCGCGGCCACAGGAATCAGCAGCACAGCCCAAAGCCAGAAACGAGAAGCCCACTCAGCCGCCATGATGCGAGCGCAGGCACCGCCCACCGCCGTCCCGGCATGCACCGGGCCGCGGGCTCCGCCTCCGCGGGACCACAGAGTTGGGACCGTGTGCGAGGCCCTCGGTGGGCCGCTTGGGATTCGGGGATTTCCTCGGCACGCGGGAAGTAGCCTTACAGGCGCGGGAGAAAGCGCAGGTGGTGGCTCGGCAGAAAAAGGCAGGCTGCAGTGCACACTGGGTCAGGCACACGCGAGGGGCAGCCCCCGAGAGGCGTCCCAGAGGCCCCCGCGCCGCCGGGGTCCTAACGGGGTGCACCGTCTTCCGCCGCACGTGGATTCAGCGCGATGCCCAAATCCAAGCGCGACAAGAAAGGTGGGCAAAGGGGGCATTGGGCCCCTGGGGGGACCTCCGTGGGTTGGCTGCCCAGCCTGCGGTGAGAGCTTCGGGGCGGCGGGGGCGCAGAATAGAACGCCAGGACATCCTCGAGGTGTTCCGCTGCCTCGCTGCTAGCTGGAATGGGGGCTTCGAGGCTGTAAAACCGCCAGAGGGGGCTGACGCCTGGTCGGGTCCGGGGAGCGGAGACTCTTGCCTAGTTTCAAGTGCTCTTACAAGGCCTACTGGGCCGGGAGGCAGCTCCTGAACACCGCCCCCGGCTGTGCCTGGTGCCATTTCGGCCCACTTTTCCCAACCTCGGCCCTTTCTCATCTTCCTGCGCTCCCGCCACCCTGGCTGCCTTTCCCCGTTCCCTTCTTTCAGCACAGGCTTTTTCTCGTGTCTGGCGTTGTGTGTCTGCGGTTGTTTCTGTCTGGCATGCTTACCTCTTCGTATGGCTTGCTCCTTCTTAGTTGTCAGTTAATAGGACTCTTCTGAGTCAGGGTCTCGCTCTGTTGCCCAGGCTGGAGTGCAGTGGCGCCACAGGCCGGGTGTGGTGGCTCACGCCTGTAATCCCAGCACTTTGGGAGGCCAACGTGGGTGGATCATCTGAGGTCGGGAGTTCTAGACCAGCCTGGCCAATATGGTGAAACCCCGTCTCTACTAAAAATACTAAAAATTAGATGGGCGTGGTGGCGGGTGCCTGTAATGCCAGCTACTTGGGAGACTGAGGTGGGAGAATCGCTTGAACCCGGGAAGCAGAGGTTGCAATGAGCCGAGATCGCGCCACTGCACTCCATCCTGGGCGCGACAGAGCGAGACTCCGTCTCAAAAATAAGTTACTGCAGCCTTGACCTCCTTGGCTTAAGCGATCCTCCCACCTCAGCCTCCCGAGTAGCTGAGACTACAGGTGCACGCCACTACACCCAGCTAGGTTTTGTTGTTGTTGTTGTTGTTTTATAGAGACGACTTTCAGTGTGTTGCCAAAGCGGTCTGGAACTACGCCCGACTTGAGCGTAGTGGCTCACTTAAGAGACCATTTTTGACCACCTTTGCTGTGGTGGTATCTCTTTTAACCCGACTCCCTGGCATACTCAAAAATATTCAGGGGTCTGGCACTTTCTAGGCGTTGGAGGATACAGCAGTTACAAAGAAGGCCTGTTTCTTATCGAGCCTAACGTTTCAGGGGAAACACATTCCACAAAATGCTAAAAATCAGATTGAGTAAAAGTGGGGTGAAGAGACGGCAATATTTTGTATAATGTGGTCAGGAAAGGTCTCACTGATGAGGCGACGAACAAAATTAAAGGAAGCGAGCAACCTGTGGAATTGTGCACCTGTGGAATTATCTGGAAGAGTGCTGTTGCAAGTAGAGGGAACGTAAACTGAAAAGGCTCTGAAGTGGGAGCAGGTTTGACATGTTTGGGACAAGAGGCCAGTGGGGTTGGAGCAGAAGGAGCCAAATACAGTTGGGGGAGGGGTTAGGCAGAGAGGGCAGGGCTTCCTCGGCCTTAGTAAGGCATTGGCTTTCCTGCCCAGGTGAAATGGGTAGCAGAGGACTCATGTGATTTACCTTTGCTTATAAAGGGTCACTCTGGTTGCCTTGGTGAGAATAGTTGGGGAAGACAGGGCAGAGGGCAGGGATGGAAGCAGTGAGACCAGCATTAATCCAAGAGAGGGTGATGCTGACTTGAGCCAAAGGTGTAACAGTGGAAATGATGGGAAGTGGCCCGCTATATTTCGTTTGCCCCCCTCTACTCCACTTACCATTGACTGATGTCAGTGTCTTTGTCTGTGTGGTACCTTGTTAAGAGGGGCTGAGTGCCGGGCAGGTTAAAGAAGAGAGGCCCGGGTCCCTTTGTGAAGGCGCCTGGGGCTTTGCAGTTGGAGTTCTGTTAAGTGTTTGTGGAACGATTTGATTCTGTGGAGGGGGCCCAGGTCAGGTCTGGCAAATGCAAACTCTCTGGGTAGAGGGCAAATTGGGCCCCAGCCATTTTTACAGTAGAGGTACATATTCCTCCCCAGAGAGGTGTTGCTGCATCTGTGGGTCCAGGTTGCAAAACTGGAGTGCAGATACATAACAGGAGATTCAGTCCCCAGTCTCATGGTTGCACAGCATAGGCCAGCTAGAGTGGCCTCTGCATCATGGTCAAGAGCAGCAAGGGGCCGGGTGTGGTGGCTCACACCTATGATTCCAACACTTTCGGAGGCTGAGGTAGGCAGATCTCTTGAGCCCAGGAGTTCAAGACCAACCTGGGCAACATGGCAAAACCCATCTCTGCAAAAATACAAAACTCACCTGGGCATGGTGGTGCATTTCTATGGTCCCAGCCAAAATTAGCAGGCCATGGTGGGGTGTACCTGTCATCCTGTGGGAGGATTGCCTGAGCCCAGGAGCTCAAGGTTGCAGTGCGCCAAGATCGTGCCACTGCATGCCAGCCTGGGTGACAGAGTGAGATCCCATCTCAAAAAAGAAATAAATAGGGGCCTGCCTCAGCCAGCAGGTGAGGTCTGCCACTGAGAGCACTCCCAGCAGCAGGAACAGTCTCCACCCCCACACCGCAGTCAAGTTTTCTGGGTGAGCCTTAGGGGCTAAGAAAGGCCTAGTTTGTCTAAATAGCAGGAGTTATATCCAGAGATCTTCAGGGCCAGGATGCTAATGAGTAGGCATTCCGTGGGCCCTGGAAATGGCTTTGTGTGCCAGAAATGATGGCCACGAAGGCCTTGCTGCCTTTTTTCAGAATGGCTGCATCCAACTGAGCTCTCTGCCAAAGGGGAGAAAAAAATAAGTGTCCAATGCATCTAGATTGGTCCCTCATCATCTCTCTCCTTTTTGTTTTTATTAGTCTCCTTAACCAAAACTGCCAAGAAAGGCTTGGAATTGAAACAAAACCTGATAGAAGAGGTAAGAAGTTTTCTTTTTCTAGAGCTTGCAATTGTTTGTTTTATCAAGGTAGGTATAGGACTGTTGGCCAGGGGAGCATACTATTGGGAAAAAAAAATCTCCAAGCTGCTAATCCAGCCCTTTTTCCTCCAGCAGCAGCACCAGCAAAAACTTCCATAGTGATGATTTCCAGCTTTGACTAGCTCATACTCTGTGCCCTGTCCTGCACTAAGTGTTTCTTATGTGTCATTCTATTCCATCCTCATAACATCGCTGAGATGTGGGTACTAGGTGATGATGTTGCTGTTTTGCATTTGGGGTCACTGAAGCTTATAGAGGTTTGTTAGCCTGCCCAATGACAAAAAACAGGAGGAGGCCAGGAACGGTGGGCCACGCCTGTAATCCCAGCGTGGGATTACAGTAATCTGGGAGCCCAAGTGGTCAGATAGCTTGAGTCTGAGAGTTCAAGAGCAGCCTGGACAACATGACAAAACCTCATCTCTACAAAAAGAAAAGAAAAAAAAAAAGCTAGCTGGACATGGCAGTATGCAGCCTGGGCAACAGAGTGAGACCCTGTCTTTAAAAAAAAAAAAGCTGGCCGGGCGCGGTGGCTCAAGCCTGTAATCCCAGCACTTTGGGAGGCCGAGACGGGCGGATCACGAGGTCAGGAGATCGAGACCATCCTGGCGAACACGGTGAAACCCCGTCTCTACTAAAAAAATACAAAAAACTAGCCGGGCGAGGTGGCGGGCGCCTGTAGTCCCAGCTACACAGGAGGCTGAGGCAGGAGAATGGCGTAAACCCGGGAGGCAGAGCTTGCAGTGAGCTGAGATCCGGCCACTGCGCTCCAGCCCCGGCGACAGAGCGAGACTCTGTCTCAAAAAAAAAAAAAAAAAAAATAGCTGGGAGATTTACCAGGTGTAGGTGACTGCACCAACCCACTGTCTGTACAGCTTCTGACTTGCCAACCTGGGCTGCAGGCTGGATGAAACAGTCTCCTTCTGCACAATGACTCCACTCCTGGAGGCTGCCTCCTGGTGGCTTTGGCCAGCACCACGTGCAGAGCAGTGCTGATCAGCTGCCTCCCCTTATAACAGTGAGGCTCCATATGCTTCCACGTAGCAGGACCCTTCGTAGTGTGGGTGAATGTTTCTAGGTTAACCGTTGATGGTCAGTTCCACTGTTGGTCATAGATAAGTGAGAAACCTGGAAAAGGCCGTGGGGTATAGATCCATGGCTCAGCCTCCCCTGTAGTTAGGGATCCTAATTTCAGTAATAGAGGTAGGAGACAACCCAATTAGAGGCCTCCAGTTCTTCCAGTTTCCATAGTTGTCAGGGGCCCAGAGCAGATTCATTCTCATCTGAGGCCAGAGTAGTGCCCATTGTATGCTGCTGCTTGGACTCAGAGCCTGGTGAATTGTCCCACAGCTTCGGAAATGTGTGGACACCTACAAGTACCTTTTCATCTTCTCTGTGGCCAACATGAGGAACAGCAAGCTGAAGGACATCCGGAATGCCTGGAAGCACAGCCGGTGAGTGGGCAGGGGGAAGAAGGCCCTTCTGAGTGGGGACCCGGCCAGGCTGCTCTCAGTCAAAGTATAGGAGCAATTTCTGACCCTTTAGGTGCCTGGGTCATGCCACTGACACCTTAATAATGACAAAGTGCTACCTGCCACTGAAGAGCACTTCCTTTTCACTGTTACAGCTGGTTTTGGGCCGGGTGCGGTGGCTCACACCTGTAATCCTAGCACTTCCGGAGGCTGAGGCAGGCAGGTCACCTGAGGTAGGAGTTTGAGACCAGCCTGGCCAACATGGCAAAACCCCTTATCTACTGAAAATACAAAAATTAGCCGGGCATAGTGGCGGGCATCTATAATATAATCCCAGCTACTCGGGAGGATGAGGCAGAAGAATTGCTTGAACTCATGAGGTTCAAGTGAGCTGAGATCGCACATTGCACTCCAGCCTGAGTGACAGAGTGAAACTCCATCTCAAAAAGAAAAAAAGCAGATTTTGCACTGAGCTCCTGGGGGCAGGACTTGGCAATTGAGATGTTTGAGAGGTGGTCCTTTCCAGAGAAGTGGCCCTTTAACCCTGGACTTTGGGCCATTTAGGAGCATCACACCAGTTTTAGAATGTCAGCATGGGCACTGGGACACAGACAGTGACCTGGGAGCAGGATGCAGGAGCCACATGGCCAGTTTCTGTCCTGGAGCAGGTGGCTCTGGTGTTGGTCTTCTGCCGCCCCAGCTCTGGTTCAGGCTGTTAACGTGCCTCCTGCATACATCCAGATGGAGAACTCGTACATGATGCTCGTGATGGGCTGGGAGACAAAGTGTTGCCATGTCAGGGGTCTGTGGGTGGGAACATAATGAAAAGGACCCCGAAGTGGGGACAGTGTGGCCAGGCAGCATGGAGAAGTGAGTGCCACTGGCTCAGCCTGGGCCTGAGCTCACTGGGGACCAGAGCTGCTTTGCATGTTGCTAAGGGGCGGGGAGGGCAGGGCACTTCCTTCACAGAATGCTCTTTCTCTTGCTTGGTAGGATGTTCTTTGGCAAAAACAAGGTAATGATGGTGGCCTTGGGTCGAAGCCCATCTGATGAGTACAAAGACAACCTGCACCAGGTAAATCTCTGGTTTTCACGGGGTGGGGCTGAGGCAGAGCCGCCTTCTCTCCCACTACTCCCACGTGATAGCCTCCCCTAGCCGTCGGCTGGCCCGTGGCTCAGGGAGAGCAGGGCCTGGCTTAAAGCTCTGGGTTCTCCCTTCACCTCCGGACCCAGGGAATAGCACCCTTCCTGCCTCCCACTCCTTCCTGCTGTGACCACCAGAAACATCTTTAAACGTTGCCAAATGTCCCCTGGTGAGCAAAAACGTGCCTAGTAGAGAACCACTGCTCTAATGTGACCAAGCTGGCCTCACTCTTGATTTGTAGGTCAGCAAAAGGTTGAGGGGTGAAGTGGGTCTCCTGTTCACCAACTGCACAAAGGAGGAGGTGAATGAGTAAGTACTGCTGAGGAACGGAGAGAAAGAGGCGGGTGAGGGGGATTTTAGGGAGGGGATGATGCAGGGACTTCATTCCATATGCGGCATCAAGTCGGAACTGCTCCTGGAAGCCTGTCACTGAGCTAGTGACCTGGGACCACAGCCCTCTCTGCCCTCTCCAGCATGGTGTGGTGGGCTGACTGCTGGCCAGCAGCCAAGGTCTGTAAAGGCCCAGGGCCACGGGACACTTGGGGGAGCCTGACTCATGGGCTGGTGGTGTGGCCAGGAGCATCCCCTCCTACCGCTTCTTTTTCCCTTAGGTGGTTCACAAAATACACAGAAATGGACTACGCCCGCGCTGGTAACAAAGCAGCATTCACTGTGAGCCTGGACCCGGGGCCCCTGGAGCAGTTCCCCCACTCCATGGAGCCACAGCTCAGGCAGCTGGGCCTGCCCACCACCCTCAAGAGAGGTATGGGCAGCCCTGGAGCCAAAAGCTCACAGCCTAGAGTCCAAGAGCACAAGCCTGCAAGCTCATCCCTTTCTGGCTGAGCAAGTTATTTCTACAAGCCTCCATTTTCTCATGTGAAAATGGGGCTAAGGGGCGGGCGCGGTGGCTCAAGCCTGTAATCCCAGCACTTTGGGAGGCCGAGGCGGGTGGATCACGAGGTCAGGAGATCGAGACTATCCTGGCTAACATGGTGAAACCCCGTCTCTACTAAAAATACAAAAAACTAGCCGGGCGTGGTGGCGGGCGCCTGTAGTCTCAGCTACTTGGGAGGCTGAGGCGGGAGAATGGCATGAACCCGGGAGGCGGAGCTTGCAGTGAGCCGAGATCATGCCACTGCACTCCAGCCTGGGAGACATAGCGAGACTCCGTCTCAAAAAAAAAAAAAAAAAGAAAATGGGGCTAAGAGTGCACGCCTCACAGTTGGGGTGAAAGCAGACAGTAACTTATAGTCTTGCAGCTGTTGAGGGACAGGGACATCAGGGGCCTGGTGCCGGTTTAAAAAAAAAAAAAAGTCAAAAAATTAGACAGCCATGGTGGTGTGTGCCTGTGGTCCTAGCTACATGGGAGGCTGAGGCAAGAGGATCACTTGAACCCAGGAGGTCAAGGCTGTGGCGAATCAAAGGGACCTCAGGGAGACAGCCACTGCCCAGTGTGTGATGGAGCTGTGGGGAGGGCAGGTGGCTGACTGGATTCCTCCTAACGTGGCAGGGACAGAGAGGGCTCTGCAGGCCTCTGGGCCAGAGGTAACTGAGAGCCACCCTCTTCTGCAGGTGTAGTGACTCTGCTATCCGACTTTGAGGTGTGCAAGGAGGGCGATGTGCTGACCCCAGAGCAGGCTCGCGTCCTGGTGAGTCTGGCGCCTTGAGGGCTATTGCAGGAGGGGCCGCTGGCTGGCTTCTGCCTGCTGAAAATGACCCCCTGCACTTTGAATACCTCCATTCCTCCTGATTCTTTGTTCCCTTTGTCTCTTGCAGAAGCTTTTTGGGTATGAGATGGCTGAATTCAAGGTGACCATCAAATACATGTGGGATTCACAGTCGGGAAGGTTCCAGCAGATGGGAGATGACTTGCCAGAGAGCGCATCCGAGTCCGCAGAAGAGTCAGACTCAGAAGACGATGACTGAAAGGGACTCAAAATTAAAGGCCTCCTGGAACCTTCTGGGTCTCACTGGACCATGCAGGACTGCTGCCGCCCCTCTGAAGAGAGCAGCTGTTTATTTGTCTGTAGACAGGGAATGTGATGGGCACTGACCTCCTATAAAGAGTAAAACTCTGGGCCGGGCGCAGTGGCTCAAGCCTGTAATCCCAGCACTTTCGGAGGCCGAGACAGGTGGATCACGAGGTCAGGAGACCGAGACCATCCTGGCTAACACGGTGAAACCCCATCTCTACTAAAAAATACAAAAAACTAGCCAGGCGAGGTGGCGGGCACCTGTAGTCCCAGCTACTCTGGAGGCTGAGGCAGGAGAATGGCCTAAACCCGGGAGGCGGAGCTTGCAGTGAGCTGAGATCCGGCCACTGCACTCCAGCCTCTGCACTCCAGCCTGGGCTACAGAGCGAGATTCCGTCTCAGAAAAAAAAAAAAGCTCTGGGCCAGGTGCAGTGGCTCACGCCAGTAATCCTAGCACTTTGGGAGGCCGAGGCGGGCAGACCATAAGGTCAGGAGATTAAGACCATCCTGACACAGTGAAACACAGTGAAACCCTGTCTCTACTACTGTTGCCCAGACTGGTCTGGAACTCCTGTCTTCAATCAGTCCTCCTGCCTTGGCCTCTCAAAGTGCTGAGATTAAAGGTGTGAGCCACTCTTTTTTTTTTTTTTTTTTTTTTAAATGGCCGAATAATAGTCTGTTGTATGAATATGCCACATTTTCTTTATGCATTCATTCATTGATGGACATTTGGGTTGTTTTTAATTATCAACTATTATGAGTAATGACACTGTGAAAACTCATTCCCAAGTTTTTTGTGGGGAGATACGTTTTCACTTCTCTTGGCTATATACCCACAAGTGGAACTGCTGAATCCTATGGTAATTTTATGTTTAATCCTTTGAGAAGTTGCCAAACTATTTTCCAAAGTGGTTGTACCATTTCACATTCCCCCCATCAGTGTGTGAATTTTCTCCCGTCTGTCTCTTGCTCACTCTCTTGCCATGTGACATGCTGGCTACGCTTCCCCTCTGCCATGACTGTAAGCTTCCTGAGGCCCTCCCCAAGAGCAGATGCTGGCACCACACCTTCTTGAACAGACTACAGAACTGTGAGCCAAAGAAACCTCTTTTCTTTGTAAATGACCCAGTCTCGGGTATTCTTTTATAGCAACGGAAACAGACTAACACACAGCATCCTGGGAGGCTTTATTCTTCGTTTGGTGGTGACTCTACTGTTAAGTTTTTGTCCAAATACTTCCGTCCCTAAGAATTTACTGAGGCAGTTCTAAATTACAAAAAGCATGAGAGAGCAAAAGAGGTGACAGAAGAGCCTTGGGCAGCCTGAGCCACGATGGGCCTAGATGAAGTAGTTGGGACATTCGTGGGCAAACAAATGCCAGGCTTGATTAAAGGCATCCACGACAGCTGGCTCCAGGGGCCCTTCCTCTGCCGCTGCCAAGTTCTGCTCCAGCTGCTCCAGGCTGGACATGCCCAGGATGACCGCGTCCCCGTGGGCACCCTGAAAGGGAGACAGCCAGACTTCAACCTTCTTCTGCTACACAGCAACTTCACTCACAACCCTCCCAGTCACGACCCTACCGAGATTTGGGCTCTCTTATATCCCATATGTCCAGAAAGAACTTAAGGTGCCTTGGATAGCTGTACCCATGTCACTCAAAACCTGTATTATTTCCCCTACTACCACATGACGCTTCCAGACAGACCTACATTCACAGCCCAGTTCTGCCCCCCAGCAGCCGTGTAAAGGTGACTAAGTTATTAAAACCTCTCTGACACTCAGTCCTCTATTTTCAACATAATTATGTGTATGAAAAAGTAATGTAGAGCACTTAGCTCCTATTTATTGAGCACCTCCTATATATGTGCCAGACACTATTGCAACATCTAAGGCTGGAGTTGGAGAAAAATTTGAAAGAGGAAGACATGAGGCACTGAGAGAGGGAAATTCCAGCTCCCACCAAAAGGATGAGATTAGTGGGCTTTACAGTTAAACCTGTGTTAAAATGTATTCCCCTTTCATAGCTGAGTGAAACTCAGTTTCCTCATCAATAACACTGGTACAGTCATTTCATAAAGCCGAAGGAATAATGAAATCCCTGCAGTAAAGCCCTCATTACAAAGCCTGGTACTCAGATACCATCAGAGACCAATGGGAAGGCGGAGCACAGTGGCTCACGCCTGTCATCCCAGCACTTTCAGAGGCTGAGGAGGGTGAATTGTCTGAGCTCAGGAGTTCGAGACCAGACTAGGCAGCTTGACGAAACTCAGTCTCTACTATAAATACAAACAATTAGCTGGGCACGGTGGTGCACGCCTGTAATCCCAGCTACTCAGGAGGCTGGGGGAGGAGAATTGCTTGAGTCTGGGAGGCAGAAGTTGCAGTGACCTGAGATCATGCCACTGCACTCCAGCTAGGGTAACAGAGCGAGACTCTGTATCAAAAAAAAAAAAAAAAAACAGTGGGAAGAGTTTTATGAGACTTAGAAGAATGAAATTTCAGAGGAATCGAGAAAACAAATGCTTTGGGCTTCACCTAAATGCTGGTACCCCTGGAAGGGAAGGAGCTGAGGGCCCAGGGTCGCTGGTTACCTGCAGCTGTGAGTGGTGGTACATCCACCGGAGGGCGGCTGAGGTCGTGCTGGGGGTGCCGGCGCCATATGCAGCCTGCAAGGCCTTCTCTACCAGGGCAATCCCCTGGAAGTGGTTCTCCTTCCAGAAGCTGGAAAGGGGGGACGGTGGCACAGGGGTCAGTACCATGGGGGTCATACTGGGAGCCACAACCAAAAAGGGTCATCCAGGGCCACTGCCCCACCCCACACCCTGCAGCCCTGAGGGGAGGGTGTCCTTTCTGGTCATAGGTCTCCCACTTTGCTGGGCATCAGAACCACCCAAGATGCCGGCCCTCTCAACAGAGACCTCAACCAATCTTTATTCCTGAGAACTCATCACCCTGCTCTTATTTTCCCCTAGGGACACAAAGGCCGCTGAGACGGGGCAGGACTCAGCCCGAGGCCTCCTGGACCTCCCTCCAGGGCGCCTTCTTTCCTTCCTAGCAGGTGAGGGCTCAGGAAAGAGCTACAACTTCAAGACCCTGAGGTCCAGGGAGCCTCATTTTCTACTGGAGGTCCCCAGACAACAAGAAAACCCACGGAGGGTTTGGAAATTCCTGAAGGGATGCAGGGGAGTAGGTGCAGCAGCGAGGAAAGGCCTTACCGCAGGAGCAGCCAGGACTTCATTCCACATAAAGCCGACCCCACCCCAGCCATCCACACCAAGCACCCCCAGCTCACCGATTCCTGTAGATCTCTGCCCACTGATGCCCAAAGAAGCGGCCCACGGGCTGTTTCCTGTCCTTGTCTTCATACTTGTACTTGCCAGTCAGCAGGCCCCCTGCGGGAAGGCAGCGATCAGCCCAAGGACCTAGAGTGCCCCAGAAGCTGCCACATCCCTCAGGGCTCTGGTCTAGGGGAGGGGCAGGGACCCAGGAGGGCTGAAGGACGCAGCCCAGCCCCTTGTCAAACCCTCCCTGCTTCCCAGGTCCTGGGCTGGGCATCTGTGGGTCGGGAATAGGCTGAGTCAGGGTCAGGAATGCTCCACGTACCAGCCAGAGGGTTGTAGGCATAGAACCTCAGTCCAAAGTGCCTGAGGCAGGGGAAGAGCTCCGTTTCCACTTGCCGGGTGGTGGCGCTGTACATGCCCTGCAGGGAGAGGGACCCCGGAGAGAGAGTGGATGTGTCAAAAGAAGGGACCTCAAATTTACCCTTATAGAGCCCTTATTTCAGACCTTATCAATTCTAGGACTTTAACCATCTGGGCATTTACTTACTCTTATGGTGCTGGTGAAAGGGGCTTATGCCCGAGGAAAATTCATTCATTGAGCCAACTTTCATGAGCACCAACTAGGAGCTGGTTGTCAGATTTAGATTCTTAAGCCAAAAGGACAGGGTCCCTTCCCTCAAGGTTTTATAATAAGGTCAAGTATAAATAGTTACAATCGAGTAATGAGGTAATCTTAATAGACGAGAAAGTTCCGTGACCAGTGCCTGGCACCAAGCAGGTGTACAAATATTTGTGCAATGAATCATGAGGAGGTAAACAACGACCTGAGGTCTCAGGGTCTTCTGGGCCCATCTAGAAAGGCTTCCAGAGGATGAGACGTATATGAGATCTGAACCGTTCTCCTAGGGAAGGGGCAGTGGCAGGGAAGGGCATGTTCCAGGCTGAATGCAGTGCCAGGTGGGGAAGGAAGGGTCCAAGGTGCACAGGCCGGCAGGAAGGAAGCAGATGCCCAGTGGCCAGCCTGAGGAGCTTGAATGGCATCCTGAGGGTACCTGGGAGCCATCTGCAGGCTTTCAGCAGGGGAGTGGCTGCTATGCAGAGGGCACAGGGGGCAGTCAGGGCAGCAAAGACAGCCCAGGATGAGCAGGAGTTCTGGAGACCTTGGCCTCTGCAGCCCCGGCCCTCACCTGGTACACAGTGGGCACGATCCAGCCATTGCTCTTGCAGAGGGTACAGATCTCGGCCACTTCCCAGGCGGCATAGTTGGAGAGGCCAAGCTCCACGAACTTGCCCTGCATGGGTGAGGCTCCAGTCAGAACGCAGTGCAGCCCAGACCAGGAAGGGGAGGCCAGGGTGGGGCCCCGGGGAATGGGGCTGTTCCCTGCTCCACCCTGGGACTGCCCTGGTACCTCTGCTGTCATGAGTAGGAACAGGATAAAGAGAGCAGCAGCACACCACCTCCCAGAGCTCAGGGGTCCCCTCACCTCCTGGTGCAGCTGGTGGCAGGCGCGCAGTGTCTCTTCCACCGGCGTGCTGTGGTCAGGTCCATGTAGGTAGAAGAGGTCCACTCGGGGACACTGCAGCCGCTTCAGTGACGTCTCCAGCTGGAACCGGAGACTGTCAGGCTTCAGGGAGTTCCCCATCCATGGATTGGCCTTGGTAGCAATTTTCACTGAGAGGAGAGAGAAATGAAAATTTAGGGCTGGACGTGGTGGCTCACGCCTATAATCCCAGCACACTGGGAGACCGAGGCGGGTAAATCACCTGAGGTCAGGAATTTGAGACCATACTGGCCAACACGGTGAAACCCCATCACTACTAGAAATACAGAAATTAGCTGGGGGTGGTTGTGCACGCCTGTAATCCCTGCTAGGGAGGCTAGGCACAAGAATTTCATGAACCGGCCGGGTGTGGTGGCTAACGCCTGTAATTCCAGCACTTTGGGAGGCTGAAGCAGGCGGATCACAAAGTCAGGAGTTCAAGACCATCCTAGCTAACACGGTGAAACCCTGTCTCTACTAAAAATACAAAAAATTAGCTGGGCATGGTGGTGGGCACCTGTAGTCCCAGTTACTCGAGAGGCTGAGGCAGGAGAATGGCATGAACCTGGGAGGCGGAGCTTGCAGTGAGCTGAGATCATACCACTGCACTCCAGCTTGGGCAACAAAGTGAGAGTCTGTCTCAAAAAAATAAAAAAAGAAAAAGAAAGAATTGCATGAATCTGGGAGGTAGAGGTTGCAGTGAGCCTAGATCACGCCATTGCAGTAAAGCCTGGGCAACAGAGCAAGACTGTCAAAAAAAAAAAAAAAAGTAAGCTTAACACTCTTCTCCCTGCCCCCTATTAAGAATCCTAGTTGGAGGCCAGGTTCAGTGGCTCAAACTTGTTATCCCAGCTATTCGGGAGATTGAGGCATAAGAATCGAGTGAACCCAGGAGGCAGAGGTTGCAGTGAGCCGAGATCTTGCCACTACACTCCAGCCTGTGTGCCAGAACCAGACTCTGTGTAAAAAAAAAATTTATAAAAATTCTAGTTGGAGATTAGGCACAGTGGCTCACCCACATAAGGCCAACACTTAGGCCCAGGAGGGTGGATCTCTTGAGCCCAGGAGTTTGAGACCAGCCTGGGCAAAATGGTGAAACCCTGTCCCTACAAAAAATACAAAATTTGGCCAGGCATGGGGGCACATGCCTGTAATCTCAGCTACTTGGGAGGCTGAGTTAGAGGATCACATGAGCCTAGGAGGTCAAGGCTGTAGTGAGCAAATATTGTGCCACTGCGCTCCAGCCTGGACAACAGAGTGAGACCCTGTTTCAAAAGAAAAAAAAAGAATCCTAGATCCTAGTGGGCTGGACTAACAGGGGAGTGGAGAGTCCTCTTCCCACTTTTCACACTTAGAAAGTCACTTAGGCTGGCAGGAGGACAGTCACTGGAGCCCTTGAGACCTGGGAGGGAGCAGGTTTGAGGAACTATTCATTTGGAATTTTTCCATGCCACCTCCACCCCTCTCCTTCTCACTGAACTTCACTTCAGATCTGAGATCTGAGGACTTTCACCAGCCAACCTTAGACTCAAAGACAGAAGACAAAGAAGGATTAACAAAGAAAAGAAAAAAGTCAGAAATAAGGCCCAGGCAGAGGCTGCAGATCTGTGTTGGCTCACACCTGTAATCTCAGCACTTTGGGAAGCCGGGGCAGGAGGATTACTCGAGCCCAGGAGTTGGAGACCAGCCTCGGCAACAAAGTGAGACTCTGGTTTCGATGAATAATACAAAAAATTAGCCAGGTGTGGTGGCACAGGTCTGTGTTAGTCCCAGCTACTCAGGAGGCGGAGGTGGGAGGATGGCTTCAGCCCTGAGAGGTCAAAGCCGCAATGAGCCATGATCGCACTATTGCACTCCAGCCTGGGTAAAAGAGCAAGGCCCTGTATCAAAACAACAACAACAACAAAAACAGAAATAAGATCAGAGCTCTCACCAAGTGGCAGTCAGGTGATCTAGAAA